CAGGGCTCACACGCCTCATAAGGCTCAGAGGGCTCATAGGGCTCATGGGGCTCGTAGGGTTTATAGGGACATTCGGCTCGTATGAAGTCATGGGTCTCAAAGTGCTTGCAGGGCTGATAAGCACATTGGGCGGCTCACAGGGCTCATACAGCGACACCGCGCTTCTAAGGCTCATCGGGCTCATCGGGCTCATGGGTCTCGTGGGGCTGAGAAGGCGCACGGGGTTCACGGGGCTCATGGGATCAACGGGTTCATAGGGCTCGTAGGACTCATAGGACTCATGGGGCTCATAGAGCTGGCGGGGCCCATAGGGCTCGCAGGGCTGATGGGGCTCATAGGGCTCACAGGTATCACGGAGCTCAAAGGGCTCATGGGGCTCATAGGGTTCGGGGGAAGCATACGCCTCATACATAGGGCTCGTAGGGCTCACAAGGCTTAAAGGGCTCGGGGGGGCTCGTAGGGCCCATAGGCCGCATACGGCTCATAGAGCTCATACGGCTCATCGGCCTCGTAGGGCACATAGAGAACGTAGGGCTCATAGGGCTCGTAGGGATCGGAGGGCTCATAGGGGTCATTGGGCTCGTTTGTGATCATAGCGCTCCTCGGGCTGATAGGGCTTATAGGGCCCATAGGCTCATAGCACTCACAGAGCTCGTAGGGCTCATAGGTCCCACAGGGCTCATGGGGCTCAGGGAGGTCCCAACCCCCATAAGGCTCATAGGGCTCAAAGGGCGACACTGGGCTTACAGGGCTCATCGGGCTCGTCTGGTGCATGGGGTCCATAAGGCTCAGAGAGCTCATAGGGCTCAGGGGGCGCGTGGGCTCGAAGGGTTCTCAGGGCTGTAGGGCTCTAGGGCTCATGGAGCCCAAAGGGCTCATCGGGCTCATCAGGCTCATAGGACTCATCGGGCTCATAGGGCTCACAGGGCTCATACGCCTCAGAAGGCTCGTACGGCTCATAGGGCTCATAGGGCTCATCAGGCTGAAGGGGCTCATAGGGCTTACAGGGCTCATCGGGCTCGTAGGGTTCGTAGGGCAGGGCTCATTGGGCTCATGAGGCTCATAGTGCTCGTAGGACTCATTGTGCTTATAGGATTCATAGGGCTCATAGGGCGCATAGGGCTCATAGGGCTCATAGAGCTCAAAGGGCTCAGAGGGCTCACAGGGCTCGTAGGGCTTACAGGGCTCATAGGGCTCATGTGCTTCATGGGGCTCGTAGAGCTCATGAGGCTCAGGGGGGGGCTCGTAGGGCTCATAGGGCTCATCGGGCCCAGAGTGCGCGTTGAGCTTGTCGGGTTCATAGGGCGCATAGGGCTCACAGGGCTCACAGGGCTCATCGGGCTCATGAGGCTCATGAGGCTTACAGGGCTCATAGGGCTCATTGGGCTCATAGGGTTCATGGGGCTCATGGGGCTCATGAGGCCCATAGGGCTCATAAGGATAATTTGGCCCATCTGTGATGGTAGGGCGCATAGGGCTCGCAGGGCTCATAGGGCTAATAGGGCCCATAGGGCTCACAGGGCTCACAAGGGTCTTGGAGGTCGTAGGCCACACAGGCCACGTAGGGTTGGTAGGCTCATGGGGCTCGTAGGGCGACACCGGGATTACATGGCTCATGGGGCTCATCGGAATCGTAAGGCCCATAGGGCTCGGAGGGTTCATAGTGGTCATTGGGCTCAAAGGGTTGATAGGGCACGTAGGTCTCATAGGGCTGATTGTGCTTATAGGCTTCATAGGGCTCATGGGGCGCATAGCGCTCATAGAACTCATAGGGTTCATAGGGCTCATCAGGCCCATACGGCTCGTAGGGCTCATATACGCATCATAGAGCTCGTAGGGCTTATAGGGCTCATAAGGTTCAAGGGGATCATGGAGCTCAAAGGGCTCATAGGACACATAGCGGTCAAAGGGCTCATAGGACACAGGGCTCATTGGGCTCATGCGGCTGATTGGGCTCATTGGGCCCGTAGGACTCATGCGCCTCATAGGGCTGGTAGGGCTCATATGGCTCATTGAGATCATCGGGCCTATAGGGCTCATAGGGCTCAAATAACTCACAGGGCTCATCGGGCTTATGAGGCTCATAAGGTTTCATGGTGCTCATGGGGATCATGAGGCTCATAGGGCTCATCGGGTTCACAAGGCCCATGGGGCTCATAGAGGTCAGTAGGCCCCACATGGCTCATAGAGCTCGACACCTTACAAGACTCATTGGGCTCATAAGGCGTACAGGGCTCATCGGGCTCATGGGCCCCCTTTGGGTTCGTAGGACTCCAAGGGCGCAGTGGGCTCATGGGCTCAAAAGCTTCAAAGCCTTCGTCGGGCTCATAGGGTTCATGGATCCCATAGGATTCACAGGGTTCCTTGGGCTCATGGGGCTCATAGGGCTCTCAGGACTCATGGGGCTCATCGGGCTCAGAGGGCTCGTACGGCTCATTGGGCTCGTAGGGCTCACAGGGATCATACGCCTCCTAGGGTTCATAGGGCTCGTAGGGCTCGTAGGGCTCATAAGGCTCATAGAGCTCCTGGGGTGCGTGGGGCTCGTGGGGCTCATTGGGCTCATAGGGCTCAGCGGGCTCATAGGGCTCATGGGAATCGGAACTCAAAGGGCTCATAGGGCTCATGAGGCTCACAGGGATCATAGGTGTCATGGGGCTCATCGGGCTCATTGGGCTCGTAGGGCTCACAGAGATCATACGCCTCATACATAAGGCTCGTCGGGCTTACAGGGCTCATGAGGCTCGGGAGCCTCCTGGGGCTCATAGTTTTGGCCTCATAGAGCTCATAGGGCTCATTGGGCTCGTAGGGCTCACAGGGTCATGGGGCTCGTAGGGCTCGTAGGGCTCATGGGGCTCATAGGGCTCCTGGGGTGCGTAGGGCTCGTGGGGCTCATTGGGCTCACAGGGCTCATCGGGCTCATAGGGCTCATCGGGCTCATGGGGCTCCCGGGGTTCGAAAGGCTCGTATGTGATCATGGGGCTCGAAAGGCTCATAAGGCTTATAGGGCCCGTAGAGCTCATAGGGCTCACAGGGCTCATCGGGCTCATAGGTCTCATAGGGCGCATGGGGCTCGTGGATGTCGTAGGCCCCATAGACTCAGAAGGCTGATATGGGTCACAGGGCGGAACTGGGCTTACAGGGCTCATCGGGCTTGTGGGGTTCATGGGGCCCAAGGGGCTCATAGGGCCCATGGGCTCAAAGGGTTCTCAGGGCTCATGAGATCACAGGGTTCATAGGGGCTCATGAGGATCATAGGGCTCAGAGGGCTCAGAAGGGCTCATAGGGCTAACAGGGCTCATACGCCTCAGAGGGCTCGTAGGACTCATAGCGCTCATGGGGTTCGGGCGGCCCATGGGTCTCCTTTGGCTGAAAGGGCCCATGGGTCTCACAGGGGTCGTAGGGCTCATAGGGCTGATAGGGCTCATTTGGCTCATAGGGCTCACAGGGATCATGCGCCGCGTGGGGCTCATAGGGCTGGGGGGGCTCGTGGGTCTAAGTGGGCTCATGGAGCTCTTGGGGCTCATGCGCATCGTAGGGCTCATAGGGCACATGGGGCTCATAGGGCTCATAGGGCTCGTAGGGTTCATCAGGCTCATGGGGTTCGTAGTGTTTATAGGGCTCCTAGGGTGCGTGGGGCTCGTTGGGCTCATAATTGAGGCTCATGGGGCTCATGGGGCTTGTAGGGCTGATAGGGCTTACAGGGCCCATAGGGCTCACGGGGCTCACAGGGCCTGTGGGGCTCATAGGGCTCATAAGGCTCGTGGAGGTCATAGGCCCCATAGAGCTCATAAGCCCATAAAGCTCATAAGGCTCATAGGGCCCAGCGGGCTCATCGGGCTCATGGGGCACATAAGGCTCCGAGAGGCTCATGGGGCAGGGCTCAAAAGGGTTCATAAAGATCACAGGGCTCACAGAGCTCATGGAAGCTACAGGGCTCATCGGGCTAAGACGGCTCATACGCCTCAGAGGGCTCGTAGGGCTCACAGGGCACGAAGGCCTCATGGGGCAAGTCTGAGCGTCAATGAGTCGCAAGGGTGAGTGCGAAGAGGAGGAGGGTGAGAGTGAAGAGAGCGAGATAAACCGACTTTCGATGATGAAAACCAACACTTACGTGAGCAGAGACGTGACTTCGCAAGAAACAAGGAGGATGCACAAACACAAGAAGAAGTGATGCAACACACACACACACACACACACACACACACACACACACACACCTTCCTCAATGATTCTAAGAGCTCCCGTCACGGAGGCTATTCGCTGAATTATAGAAGTTAGAGCTTCCGCCACAGAAGCTCTCATACGTTGGGCTTGGAACAGGCTTGGGGAAGAAGCTGAATTGGAATTGCGTCTTCAGAGGGGATAGCGTGTTCGCAAAGAATAGCTCCCTCGCTGAGAAGAGCGTCTTCGCCGGGAATTGAGTCTTCAGAGGGGATAGCGTCTTCACCGGCAATAGCATCGTATCTTCGGAAAGAATAGCGTCCTCGCCAGGAATAACGTCTTCGCGGGGACTGTCGTCTTCCCCAGGACTTATGTCTTCGCAATTGCTCGCGCTTTCGACGCGAAGTGCGTCTGCGCCCAGGCACCGTCTGCGCAGGAACTCACCGGCACCGACCCCCGTCGTAATAACGTCTCCGCCAAGGATAACGTCTTCAAGCACCTTTCCGTCTGCGGGCGCACTTGCGTCTTCAATCGGGATAGCGTCTTCAAGCGTGTTTGCGTCTGCCCCGTCTGCATGCGCAATTGCGTCTTCAAATGGAATAGCGTTTTCCCCCGCCCTATCGCCCTTGGCCAACTGCGCCTTCGAATAGCATCGTCTTCTGCCAAACTGGCACACCCCGGTTGCCACCCAAATGTTTGATCTACTTTTCGCCTCCACGACGCGAGGAGGTGGGGATATTTGTCTCCAGTGCCCTGGCTCCTCGGATAAGCACGGGATGGGGAGGCGGGTGGGCAACAGCCGGGCGTGGGACGACGCTGCCGTGCACTAAGGCACGCGCCATCGGCCGCGGCAGGACATGGGCCGCGCGGTGCGAGGGGACCTCCGGCAAAATACAAACTGGTCGCGGAGCGAGGCGTCTTGACTGGTCCTCCTCCTCCTCCCTCCTCCCTCCTCCCTCCTCCCTCCTCCCTCCTCCCTCCTCCTCCCCCTCCTCCTCCTCCTCCTCCTCCTCCTCCGCCTCCTCCTCCTCTTCCTTCCTTCCTTCCTCCTCCTCCCACCTCCTCCTCCTCTCTCCTCCTCCTCCTCCTCCTCCTCCTCCTCCTCCTCCTCCTCCTCCTCCTCCTCCCCCATCCGCCCTCCTCCGCGGGGGGCGGGCCTGCCCTCTCGGCGCCAGTGGACACCATGGACTCCGCACACCCCCTGGAAAAATGTTGCAATCATTTCTCAACTTTTTGCGCCCCCACTCTCCGGACCCCTGACCTCAATGTAGGGTCAGCCGCGGCCGACGGCGGAAACATCGGATCGCGCGGCGCCCCGCGCGAACATTGAAATTGAGACGCACCGCGCGCGAGGGGTGCATTTCTTTTCCAGGGTCGTGTCGGACTCCATACCCAAGGAATCAGTTGCAATACCCAGGGGTCCACTGCCTTACCGACGGAACCCCGAAGTACCGAAGGTATCCACTGTTAAACCCAAGGGCTCATTGCCATGCCCAAGGTCGTACCAGGACAATTTTGGAGGGGAAAGGTGACGCGATCCAGTTCTAGGAGTTGGATTCGAACCCTGCAGACAAGCCAACCTTCTGTCATAAAACAAGTTCGACGCACACAGGGAAGGGCTGCAACAGACGCCCCTGTCCGCAACACTGCTCTTGGGGTCCGTGGGGCAGTCTGAGGGCCGTCTAAGCTGTGGTCAAGCCCGCTCAGGTTGTGCAAAGACTGTCTTTGAACCTTGTCGGTAATCTTGGGGGCCTCTCTGGGAAGTCCCTGGCCCCCCCTGGAGGGCTTTGGGCACGCCTCCTGCGATCCTCTTGAAACGTGATGCGGGCTGCTGTTGGCTTTCTGGGGCCATTGTGGCGCCCGCTTGGCAGCCTCTTGTGCCGTCTTGGGATCATCTTGGGCCACGGAAGGCGTGGCAACCTCGGGCGAGGAGAGGGCTGGGGCGCAGGAGGCAGGCGGGGAGGGGAAGGGGAAAGAGGGGGAGGGGGAGGAGGAGGAGGAGGAGGAGGAGGAGGAGGAGGAGGAGGAGGAGGAGGAGGAGGAGGAGGAGGAGGAGGAGGAGGAGCCGCCTTGGGACTCTCTTGGCCCACCTTGGGGGCTTCGTCGCGAGTTCCCGGGCCGGCCTGCGGCCCCCCTTGGAGCGATCCCGAAGCCAACGTCGGCCGAGAACCAAGCCAAGTGGATCTTCCACGAGGCACGTCCAACACATAGAGCTTGCCTCCTCAGAGCCTCTCGTAACAACTGCTGCTGCTGCTCCCACTGCACGGACGCCCCGAAGAGAGGGGAGATCGCGCCGCGGCGCGTGCTTGGCTCGCACCCCGCCGCTGAGGCCACGTCTCGCGTTCTCTCACAGTACCCATGCTTCTGACACTTCTCCCAGTCTCACAAACTACACCTCACTCACATGAGGCCTGTCGTGAGATTATGTTGGCATTGGTCCGTGCATCTTGAGCCGTCCTGCTGGCCTATTGCAACCAACCTGGGCCAGCTGGGTACTCTCCTGGGCTGTCTTGAGATCTTATAGTTCCAACATCCTAAATGACGTTCGCATTTTCTCTGGACTCCCCGCGGAGGCACCCACCAACCCTCCTCTCATCTTCTCCCCGATTACTAGCCGGCCGCTCTGCGGTTGATCGGGAGTTTCTGTATATAGAAGAAGGTGCGTGCGCTTGTTGGCGAGGGTGATGAGGTTCCTCCTCCTCCTCCTCCTCCTCCTCCTCCTCCTCCTCCATCCTTCTCTTGCCTCCGTCTGTCCCTCCTCCACCCCCAGCTCCATCACTCTCCTCCTCCTCCATCCTCCTCCTCCTCCTCCTCCTTCCTCCTCCTCCTCCTCCTCCTCCTCCTCCTCCTCCTCCTCCTCCTTCCTCCTCCTCTCTCCTCCTCCTCCTCCTCCTCCTCCTCCTCCTCATCCTCTGGATCTGTCCGGACCTAGGCCCCTGGGGGGCGCGGATCCACCGGATCTGTCCGGAGGTTCGGAAACGGTGCCGGAGGCCGCTCTGGGCTCCTCTGGGCACCTCCCCCGGGGCCGGTTTTGTGAGGATGTCTCAAGCGAGGGCGCCGGTTTGGGATTCGTCACCGGATCCAGCGGATCCAGCGGATCCACCGGATCTGTCCGGAAACGGTGCCGGAGGCCGCTCTGGGCTCCTCTGGGCACCTCCCCCGGGGCCGGTTTTGTGAGGATGTCTCAAGCGAGGGCGCCGGTTTGGGATTCGTCGGCGGATCCACCGGATCCAGCGGATCTGTCCGGAAACGGTGCCGGAGGCCGCTCTGGGCTCCTCTGGGCACCTCCCCCGGGGCCGGTTTTGTGAGGATGTCTCAAGCGAGGGCGCCGGTTTGGGATTCGTCACCGGATCCAGCGGATCCAGCGGATCCACCGGATCTGTCCGGAAACGGTGCCGGAGGCCGCTCTGGGCTCCTCTGGGCACCTCCCCCGGGGCCGGTTTTGTGAGGATGTCTCAAGCGAGGGCGCCGGTTTGGGATTCGTCACCGGATCCAGCGGATCCAGCGGATCTGTCCGGAAACGGTGCCGGAGGCCGCTCTGGGCTCCTCTGGGCACCTCCCCCGGGGCCGGTTTTGTGAGGATGTCTCAAGCGAGGGCGCCGGTTTGGGATTCGTCGGATCCACCGGATCCACCGGATCTGTCCGGAAACGGTGCCGGAGGCCGCTCTGGGCTCCTCTGGGCACCTCCCCCGGGGCCGGTTTTGTGAGGATGTCTCAAGCGAGGGCGCCGGTTTGGGATTCGTCACCGGATCCAGCGGATCCAGCGGATCCACCGGATCTGTCCGGAAACGGTGCCGGAGGCCGCTCTGGGCTCCTCTGGGCACCTCCCCCGGGGCCGGTTTTGTGAGGATGTCTCAAGCGAGGGCGCCGGTTTGGGATTCGTCACCGGATCCAGCGGATCCAGGGATCCAGCGGATCTGTCCGGAAACGGTGCCGGAGGCCGCTCTGGGCTCCTCTGGGCACCTCCCCCGGGGCCGGTTTTGTGAGGATGTCTCAAGCGAGGGCGCCGGTTTGGGATTCGTCACCGGATCCAGCGGATCCAGCGGATCCACCGGATCTGTCCGGAAACGGTGCCGGAGGCCGCTCTGGACTCGTGCTCTTCGCGCCGGGGGTGAGGATGACGTGAGTTCCACAGAAACTCCCTCAAACGATCACACTCTCCATCATCACCGCAGTCATCATCGAACCAGCATATTCATCACCATTACCATGCCGCACCACCACCACCACCATGATCACTACCGCCACATCGACCACCATCATCATCATGATATTCATGCCATGCTCATCATCATCGCCAACAACGCCATCATCAGCATCATCACCGCTACAATCGCACTCGCACGCCCACCACACACACAAGCACACACACACACACTGATTCAACCACACACGCACTCACACAATCATCTTGAAGTTTCGAGCGGGAGCCTCGTCTGTGAGTAAGTCGTGAGGACGTCTCAAGCGGGAGCCCCTCCCCATGAAGCGGCGCCTCGTGTTTTTACTCAGATGGGGTGTCGCCCTCAAACTAATACATGTTGTAACGTTTGGGCTCCTCGGGCGTCTACGGTGGAAGTCTCGTACGGGTGCGTCCGTGGGCGAATGTCGAGGAAGTCTCAGGCAGGAACCTTCGCCCCATAGGGCACGCATTCTATGTTTTTTCCAACCCGTCCTGTGGCGTTGGGCCATCGCTTTGAAGAGAGAAGTCCCCGCGTCCTTGTCCTCTCCGCCTCCTCGCCCTCCTCCATCCTCCCCCCTGCTTGCCCCTGCCCTCCGCGTGCCTCTGTTTCGGCACACTCTCACACGTTCCGTGGCCCCATACGGAGTTCGCCCGAAGGCCCCAACGGCAGGGTCCGCATGGCGTGCCCACACCCGATTCGGCCCACCCATCACCGAAGGCCCAAAGGCAGGGTCCGCATGGCGTGCCCGCATCCGATTCCGTACACCCCTTACACGCTTCTTGGCCCCATGGGGAACTCCACCGAAGGCCCCAGCGGCAAGGTCCGCATGGCGCACCCGCACCCGATTCGGCACACCCCTTACACGCTTCGTGCCCCCTATACGGACCTCCACCGAAGGCCCCAGCGGCAAGGTCAGCATGGCGTGCCCGCACCCGATTCGGCACACCCCTCACACCCCAAGAGGGGCACAAGCGCCTGCAATTTGGAGTCCCCGAGATAGCAAGGCCCCAAGAGGCCCCCCCCAGAGACCCAACAGAAGCCCCCTGGAGGACCCCAGGACGCCCTCAAGCGGCCCTCAAGACGCCCACAAGACCACCAGATGACAGCAGCAGTGGCCACGTGTGGTAGCACTGCATCGTGCGTGCGCACGCAAGGAGGAATGACAGCAGTGGCAGCACAGGCATAAGCCATGGAACTGGACGGGAAGGGGAGTATAGCAGCACGGTGGAGTAGGAAAGGGGGCGCCCCGCAAATCGAAAACGGTGCGAGACCTCGGCCCCTGGTGTGAGAAACGGGCCATGCCGCAGCAGAACACGATCCACAATACCTCAAGACCCAAATAGGAGGAAGAAATAACCGCATACACATAAACTCTCGAAGCTCCGCACGGATTTCTTGGACCGGCGCTGGACCCCCCTCCCTGGCGCGGGGAGCGCACCCAGGGACGGCGCCAGAGGCGCCGCCAGGAGGGCTCGGGCGCCGATCCGAGAAGTCCGCGAGGAGCTCCGAAAATTCATGTCCATGCCGATGCTCCTCCTCCGACCGAAGAAGCAGCGCTGCAAAGCTTTGGAAGCGGCTGCACCCGGACGCGGCGGCGCCCGCGAAGCCGTCGAGGATGCGCGGCCTGCCCGCGCGCCTGGCCTCGCAAGCGTCGCGAGTCCAGCCCGTCGTCCTCCAGCTCGGCCTGCGACGAGCGGAGGTCGTCGTGGGTGGCGCAGCAG